TGCAGGAAGAAGCGTTTGTTCGGGAACTGCAGCTTTGTATCCCTGTGAAGAAGGAGATTGTGCAAGCTGACTTGAATCCCGAGACTGCCGCGCGTAGCTCCAAGCTGTTCTACTACTTGACGCAGTCCCTCGCCAAGTGGGAGCGGGGAAGCGAGCTCTTGAGGTCCTGCTCGAAGAGGCAGGGGCAGAGCGCCTGCGGCTACGAGGTGATTAGAACGATTACCTCTCAGTACTCCATCGTGTCGCGGATGGAAGCTGTCTTCGTGAGAGAACAGGCTTTGAAGTTGTACCAGCACGTTGGGCATCTGAAGAGGCCCACCGACTTGATTCGACATCTTGAGGATTCGTTTTCGAAGTCTGAAGCGAAGCTGAGCAACTTTCCGGAGCTTCTGTTGTCTGAGGCTGACCGCTGCTCTGTCCTTTTGCAGAGCTTGGGTGCAGAAGTGCGTCAGTACGTGGTACTGCACGGGTCCAGCTCGAACTGGGAAGCTCTTCGAAGGACGCTGACTTACTACGAGGAGCAGCTGCGACTGTGTGAGGCCCCTGGGTCTTCGGGCCGAGCCTTGCAGGAGAAGCTTTGCGACTACTGCGGGAAGAAGGGACACACAGCCGACAAGTGTTGGCAGCGCCAAAAGGAAGAACGCGAGCGCGGTGGTGCTCCGAAGGGCAAAGGGAAAGGAGACAAAGGAAAGCCGAAAGGCAAAGGCGACCAGACTCCAAAGGGATCTGGCACGCCCCGTGGTTCCGAGAAGGGCAAGGGCGGCAAAGGAAAAGGCGACAAAGGAAAGGACAAAGGCAAGAAGCAGAAGAAAAAGAAGAAGGGACAGCCTGGAAAGGGACGCTCCTTGACAGAGCCGGAGTCCGAGGCCGAGTCGGGAGGAAGCGCCACAGTGATGGCGATGAGGTTTTCCTGTCCTGGGCGTGGTTCTTCGGAGCCCTCTTCTGCGGAACGCCGTGTTCTGAGCCAGCCTGAGAGACCTGAGCCGTCCGCCCTTGTAGTTCCGAAGCCGGGTTCAGGACCCGAAGGGTCGCCTGGGTCTGAGAGTCGAGGTTCTGAGTCTATGGGCTCCTTAGGATCCCGTGTGTTGAAGCACGGCGACGTAGCTCATGTCTGCAAGGCCCTCGAGACTACTCCTGGGGACCTGTGGCTAGTCGATAGTGGAGCCACCTGCCACATTGTTTCAGACAAACATCTCTCAGGATTTCGTGTTGTCAAGAAGTACGACCGAACGGCCAATCTGTTCAACGCCTCGGGTGGTGCGATCGTCGTGTCGGGGGTTGTCGACCTTGAGGTTCATTTTGGTGATGTTTTCCTGAGGTTGGAAGAGGTCTTGGTGGCGGATGTTGGGTTCAACGTTGTTTCGCCTTGGACCGGGTCGGAACGGGGCTGGAAAACCTATCTAGCCAAATCGGGATCACGATTGTACAAAGGAAACGGAAAGAAGAGCATCAAGCTGATGGGCGCTTCGCGCGCCTGGTGGGCTCTGAGCGGGAGGTCCAAGGGCCGGGGGAAAGAGAATTCTTCCAGACGCCCCCCGAAAGGGATCGAGGATATGGAGATAGATGCCTTGAAGGACCGCGACCTGCTAGGATCGAGCAAGGAGTCCACCGCAGGACCCCAGAAGCCTGGAGAAGGAATCCTGAAGAAAGGAAGAAAGACTTCGGAAGAAGACGAGTCTGGCCGCCACGCTTTGGCTGCCACTCCTTTTGGGTTTCTGCTTCGGGGTCTTAGGGCGGAAGTTGCTCCAAGAGCGCCTGCACCACGGGAGATTGAGCTTTGTGATTTTCTAGAAGAGTCTAGTGACTTTAGGCAGGGCACGGCGCTTGATTTTAGGAAACAGTTGCATGCTGGCATGTCGCTTGATTTTGGGAAACAGTTGCATGTTGGCATGGCTCTTGATTTTAGGAAACAGTCGCATGTTGGCATGGTGCTTTGCATGTTTTTGGCATGTTTTTCCATGGTTTTGCGATGGCATGTTTTCATGAGGGACATGGTTGTGCAAGCGCAGTGGGTTTTTGCTGCTGTGCTCAAGCGGGCTTTTACCCTTACGGCTTTTGCAGAAAGACTCGGCATACGCCTCTTTTTCCTGCTATGGGAAACTATCTGGGCGGATCAAAGCCAGAATGCGAGTGCCGGTGCGAAGTGTGCGGAAAGCAGGGGTGCGTCAGGCGCAAACCTGCGCACACCCATCATTATTGCTGGGCCTGTATACAGCACTGGTCGGGGCTGCAATGGCTACGTGCCCACGACGAGGTTCCAGATTCGCAGTATTCTGAGAGCGATGCTGATGGTAGCATTGCAGCTGGTTGGGTCTTGCTCGATGGCAAGTGAAGAAGACAGACCCTTCAGCCACAAGAGGGTAGAAAAAGGGTTGCGAAAGCATTTGCCTGAGCTTAGGAAGCAGCGGCATGAGGCTCGGAAGCAACTGCGTGAGCCGAGGAAGCAACTGCGTGAGTCTAGGAAACAGCTGCGTGAACCTAGGAAACAGTGGCATGTTGGCATGCTTGGCTTGATTTTGCAAACGCTGATGTTGCCGAATGTTTGCGCTAGCACTGCGCGCGATTCATCTGCAGCCGTTTTTCTCTTTGTTGAAGAGAGGTCTCCCTTTGGAGATCATAATGGACGGTGCCAGCGGGGACGAGTTTACCCCGAGTGTTGCTTTGAGCAGCCCAGGTTCTCCTGGGAAACCGCCTACTCCACCGGCTTTGGAGAGCCCCTCTTTCGAACTACCGGGGGTCGAGCCGCCGGGTGGGGGACCATCGTCGCCGGTGGCGGTCTACCCGTCGCCAGTGGTGACGGAAGCAGCGGAGAGCTCTGCAGATGGCCCTGTGGAGGAGAATGCTGCGAGGAGTCCGCCGAAGGCGGATATTGCAGAGAGCCCTTTGTTCTCAGAGGAGAGCGAAGGGGAGGAGAGTTGGGGCACCCAGTGGCCGAATCCTTCGAAGCGCCTGCGCGCTGGGGGTCCTTCAGAGGTCGAGGGGCCTACGCCACGGCGGGTTGGAATCCCGGCGAATATCTCGCCGGGCTCGCTGAGCCCTCCGTTTGGTGCGGTTCAGATGGATGTGGGAACCCAACTCCTCCTGAGGGCGTTGAGGCTGGAGGCTGGCCGCAGATGGGAGCATGCGGAAACGCTGGGCCTTGCAAAGGTCTCGGTCGACTCTACCGAGCCTATTCCGTTGCTCTCGCACTTGGCGGGGATTCCAGCGAACATGAACGATGCCTACGATGCCCCATCCCTGGCGTTCTGTGCGCCAGGCCACGCCTTGAGAGCACTTTGCTCTCCGGCGGCGACGATGCTTGGTCCGATAGGCCTGCCCGACCTAGAGCATCCAGCTGCTTGGCTACCAGCCACTCCAGTGATTCCTGTGACAGCGGCCTATCCAGAGGAGCCAGTGAGGGTTTCGAGGCCGAAGATGGTGGAATCGGAAGCCCAATGTATCATTGGGCAGCAGGAATGGGAGGTTTGGTTGGGACGTTGCCTAGAGGGCAAGAGCCTGGCAGAGTACGGGCTTCATATGGTAGACGTGGAGTCCGCTGTCAGGGTTACCGAACTTCTGGAGGCTCCACGGGCCGCTCGGGCAGCGTGGAAACGAAGGTTCCAGGAACCCAACCCTGTGTCTATGTTACACTATATCTTCCATTGTCGAGCTGTACTGCAAACCTATTTGGCTACGCCTGCTGGATACAAGGGACTGGTGGGAGGACGTTCGAGTCTGCTCGTAAAGGTGCCCCAGTCGGTCACCTCGCTCGAGCTCAAAACGGCTTGGGCGTACCTAGACTCGGGCATATATCTCCGTGTTGCCCGATACTACCGGCGAAAACGAGAGGAGGAGCGCCTCCACGAGGCCCGGGAATCCATGCGAGCGGCAAGGGCCAAATCGGCAGCGATCCCTCAGGGCGGTGTTGTGGACACCACCTCTTCGAGCTCCGACGAGGAGTCCTTGCTCCTTGGAGAAGGAGAAGTCACAGCGCTGAACAGGGCCCAGGGCCAAGAAGATTTATCCGACATCGCCATATGGCGCACGTTGGAAGAACTTACAGGCCAGAGGCTGTCCCAATTGGATGGCTATGTTGGGGCCGACGAGGGAAATCAGCCCAATCAGCCCGCCGAGGCGGGACAGCCGGCACCGCCGAGCCCGGCTTCCTCAATGCCATCTGGAGAACTGGTGGCTACTGCATTCAATCTTCCGAGGGTCTCAGCACCTACGCTTCCGGAGGGAATGCAGAGGGAGGACTATCAAAGACACGGCGTGAACATCCCGCCGTCGGTTCCAAAAAGATCTCGGCTACCAACGCCTCCGAGAGCTCTGAGTGCGTCTGCGAGTGGTTCTGCCACCGGACAGACTGCCCAGGAACGGGCATTTGTGCTCAGCCCGCCATCTTTAAGCCACAGTCAAGTGACTGCGCAGGTGAGGCAAGCCCTCGAAGAGGGCCAGAGGCTTTTGGAGTGACTCTGCGGCGTTCCGCAACGAGGGGTAAACAGCACGCTTTGCAGCATCACACTTTGCAGCAGCACGTTTTGCAGCAGCACGTTTTGCAGCAGCACGTTTTGCAGCAGCATGTTGTGTGGCATGAGCGTTGGCATGGTCTGTGGCATGTTGCGTTTGCTCGAGAACCAACCCAACGTACCTCGAACCCTACTACCTTCGAAACCCGCACCTTTAAAACCACGGCCGCTTTCAGGAATGGTTTCACGCCAGGACTGGATCTTGGTATCATCGTGCTCCTCCTGACGGTCTACAGCCTCTTCTGTGGTATAGCTTTGTGGGTTTCTTCAGGGTTACTTCGGTGTTTCAGGAAAGTGGTTTCGCGAAAGAGGCCACGGAAGTTCTACAGGGTGTTTTCTAGAAAACGCGGAAGCTACTTTAGGATTAAGCTGCGGGACCGTTGGGCCCGCGTCGAGGTGAGTAGGAAACTTCTTTTGAGTCGTGAGGTGAAAGGTTTTGGGCAGCGCGTTTGTGAGCATGTCTGTGAAAACTTGAAGTGCGCATGTTGCGGCATGTTTGGCATGCTTTGTGCCGGAGATGATGAACCGGCCCCGGCAAAGAAGACGGAACAAGTTGAGCACGTGCTCCGAGCCGTGCGCTTTAGAGGTTTACCGTCGCCGGGGACCGGTACACGTTCTGATCCGTTTGACTTAGACCCCGAACCTTCCTCTAGACCTGCTCCCGAAACTACCTCAAAACCTGAAGCTTCTAGTCGTAATCCTTTAGATCCTGAAGGAATCTTTGATGAGGACCCTGAACCGTTAGGATCTGCCCCTGGCTCTTCCAAGAAACCTCGAAAAGAAAAGGGTCCAACACCACCTGACGACCCGGTTGGACCTGAGGACGAGGAGGACCTGAGGGTTCCTCTTTCTTCTGTTTCGTTGTATAATCATCGGAGCCGAGGGCATTTTCCTTTTGATTCCAATTGTGAAGCGTGTTGTTCTTCGAAAGGGCGCGTTCCAGCGCGTCGCTTGAGGAGGAAGCTGCAGAGAGAGAACCAGACCATAGGTCTTGATTTCTTCTATTTCGGAAAACTGAGGGTACTCTTGATGATGCACCTCGGTTCTAAGTATACTGTCTCTCTTCCTGCGATGCACCTCGATGACCCTGACCTGCTCCACAACATCAACCGTGTGATTCGCGAAATGGGATTAGTCGGTAAAGCGGTTACATTTCGGATGGACCAAGAAGCGGCTCTTGGAGCCCTTGCCGAGAAACTCACCAAGTGCGATAGCAGCCCTGCCAGCGCAACTTTGATTGACGTGGTTCCGGGCTACAGGCCCCAGTCGAAGGGATCGATTGAGCGGCAGGTTGAAACTATGAAGCAGGGTTTCTGGTCTGTTTGGTTGGACCTGGAGAAAGAGGTTGCTAAGGTGAAGCAGGAAACGGAAGCCGTTGAGCTTGGGAAGTATCGGTTACCTTTGGGAGGTTTGCTTTGGCAAGCCTGTGTTTTCTATGTTGCTAGGTGCTATAACCTCTGGTGTACCAGCGTCGGGGATTCGAGCACTAGCATCGATCGACTGCATGAGGAGATTGTGAACCGGACTCGGACGAGACCGTTCGGGTGTCTGGTTCAAGCCCAGGTCAGTAAGTCCAAGGCGCACCATGATAAGTTCAGGGGCGCCCGGACCGTGAAAGCGGTTTATCTGGGACCGGTGCACGCCAAAGGTGGCGGCATCTTTGCCGTCCCTATCGGAAGCAGGGAAATAGATATATTCCCCGTCGCCAGAATGATTCAGGGAGGTGACATCTACGATGCCAAGACCCTGGAAGAGCTATCTTTAGCTAAGCCTCTTCTGCAGGACACTGAGGACCCCGAGAGGCCCATACTGTTTGATCCGTTGGAGGCTCCTGGTGATGATGATGCTCCTGATGAGGGGGCTGGTGTGGGAATGGATGAAGATGGTGATGAAGAGATGATTGAAGATGAGCTTGCTGACTATTCTCCTTCGGAAGCACCTGAGAACCAGGAGGTTGTGAACGATGAGGGGGATATGGAAATAGACTGGCTCACGAATCACTATCTTGAGTCCCTGTTTCGAGGGCCTGACCTGCGAGCCACCTCCACTGCAGTTGCAAAGTCGTTTGATTTGAAGTTTGGGGGTACGAAGATAAGGTGTGCTGTTCCTCAGAACGCTGTGTCTGAGACTTCGGGAGAGAAGCTAGAACCCGATCTTCTTTACGCATCAATGAAGCTTGAGTTGGAAGAGTTGGAATCCTTCAAGGTTGGGGAAGTGATCCCTGAGCGCGAAGCTCGCCGTCTTGCTAAGGAAAACGGCAGGCGAGTCTTGACTAGCAGGTGGGTCAACACGGTCAAGAAGAAGGGACTGTATAGATCTAGGCTAGTCGTGCGGGATTATGCCTCTATGGGAGGCACCACCTTGAGTGAGGGAATCTACTCTCCTACTACTTCATTGGAGGGTCTGAGATTGCTTCTGTCAATGCTCTGCCGACGTGGCAGTGTGTTGTCCTGCGATGTCTCGGTAGCGTTCATGCATGCTCCCGTAGCGAGGGCAGAATTCGTAGAGTTGCCGAATAATGTGAGCACCCAGGGGACTGGGGAACGAGTTTTCGTCAAATTGCGGAAAGCGATGAACGGATTGCGCTCTGCTCCATTATCTTGGTATTGCGAGTTGGCTGAATACTTGCGCTCTCAGAATTTCGAAGCGAGTTTGGACCCCACTATATTCCGTCGTCTTACGAGGAAGGGTTTGACGATTGTGTTGTTTTATGTGGATGACTTGCTGATCTATAGTGAAGATGAAGCTGAGGGGCGCCGGTTCTACGAGGAGTTGCGTAAAAGATATAAACTGAAACTTACGGGCGAGTTGATTCAAGATTGCCCCGGGGAAGTTTCGTTTCTCGGTCGGCGGATCTTTCGCCGTAAGAAAGGGGAACGTACGGTGTATTTCGGGCTAGACGAACAGTACCTGAGTTCCTGTTGCGAGGAGTACGGAATCACCAAACCTGCACCAAAGCTCCCTTCCCTTGAACGCCGCTATGCTGAGTTACTGAAGAAAGGCCAGACTGAGCTGATCAGTCCAGCTGCTCACGAGAGGTACAGAAGGACTCTGGGCCGTTTGGCCTGGGCGGCTCTGTCACGACCAGAGAAACAAACGACTACCGCACTCTCCAGTGCGGAAGCAGAACTCGCGGCACTCACAGAGGTTGCTCGTGAAGGGTTGTACATTGCTTTGCTTGTGGAGACCATCCGCGAGGGTATGCCGAAAGACAGGGAAACCGGTTATTATGTTCTTAAGGGATATTCTGATTCCGAATCGGCGGTTTGTATATCGAAGATGCAGACCCTCCTGAGGAAAGTGAGGCACATCGAACTGCGTGCCGCATTCCTTCAGGAGCTGGTGGCCAGGGGTCGTTTTACTATAGAACACATACCGGGAGTGATAAACCCTGCGGACGCCCTCACGAAAAGCCCCACTAACGAAAGTTTGGCTAGCTTGTACGATGCCTCTGGCCTTGTAGATGAACCGAAGGCCTGGGAGAGTGAGCCTACTGAGGTGCACGTGTCTTTTGAAGAGCCCAATGAAAACGAACGTTTTACTCCGTCTGTTCCGCCTTCCTGGAAAGCCGCTGCTTTGAAGCTAGCTCGTGGTGAAGCTAAGTACGTAGTGGTTGAACTGTGTTGTGAAGAAGGAAGTGCGTTGTCCAAAGCCTGCTCGAAGGTCCCCGAGATCGCCTACTTTGGGGTGACTAAGGAAGTTGATCTTCTGAGCTATAATGGCTTGTGTCTTCTGAGAGAGGTTTTCGGAGTCGTAGCTGAAGGTGAGGTCAAGGTGTATGCTCACTTGTCTACTCCGTGCTCTGCTGGGTGTGGTTTAAGGCACCTGAGGTTTAAGAAGGGAGGAAAGGCCCTGGAGAAGTGGAGAGCGGCTCTGGCCGTTCACAAGAGGTCCTGGAAAAGGATCGAGAAGCTGTTGGAGCCTTACGTGGGCTCCCCGAACCTTCTTCTTTCTCACGAGTGGCCTGAGAGGTCAGGACTGTGGGATGAGACTGTGTTTAAGAGGGTTTCTAAGAAGCTTCGTTTGGATCAGGGTTGCCTTGTGGATCGTTGTTGCTTTGAAAAGGGTGACCAACGACCTTGGAAAAGATGGTGGTTTGTGTCTAACCGCACAGAGTTTGTGTGGGGACTTTCGTCTCAGTGCTCTGAGGGACACGGCCACTACTACCTTCCTCTTCCTGAGTCAGGTGTGTATCCAGCGGGTTTAGGATTCGCTCTCTTGAAGAACGCGAAGAAGACTTTTGAGGAGAAGTAAAGAGGACTCTCGGGCATGAGGGGGTGTGAAAAGTTTGCTCCTGGCTCAAGTTTTCGGCTCAGACGTTGCAGTGCCGTCGTGGCCAGCCTTGGGGCCTACTTTTCTAGAGGTTCCAAAGAGGCCCCAAACCCAACCACTCGAGGTCGTCAGGCCAGACAGCTGGCAAGGGTTTGGTGGGCGGCCCGGTAGGCTGTACTGCACGTGCTGTGCCAGGCAGTCCTTTTCCCCTCGCTGCGCGCACTCCCTCGCCGTCTGGGGCTTGCACAGTTGCTCCCGGACTGGCTAGAGGCTTGTGCTTTTCGTGCAGCTGGAGGCCTGCCTAGCCCCTCGCCCGAGGCTGAGGTCCCTCACCTATGGGTCGAGGTATGGTGCAACGCGCCTACCACGTTTGCAAGCGCTGTCAGAAGGTTGTGGAAGCACCCCAACTGCCCGGCCTGCCAGGCTCGGTTCCCGAAACCCCCTGGCCAAGGTAGTGGTTCTCCCACACCGTCCCAGTCCCCACAACGAGGACCCCACGCAGGCGCTCTTCCCGTCCCCGCACACAGGTCACCTTTGATGACGAGGCTGAGGTTGGGGACTCCTCGCCTGATGAGCCCTCCCCTCCTCGCCCCACGAAGGCCCAGGACGACCGTTCCAAGAGGAACACCCGCATCCTTAAGTCCCTTCGCAGGGTGTGGGGTGACCTGCCTGCTGAGGCAAAATCCCAGCTCAACGACGCCGGTTTCGAGGCCCCCCAGGCGCCCGACATTGAGATGGAGCCTGACCTGCTCACCTTGCTCCAAGAGAATCTGGAGCACCTTCCGGAATGTATCCGTCAGGCCTTGCCCCCTCCTCCGCCAGAGCCTGTGCCGGATCCCCTCAAAGAAGGACGTGAATCGGGCAACGCCTTGAGGCGCTCGATTCTGAAGCTGAAGCAGTTGGGCCAGGAAAAATTGCGGCTGCAGGAGGACATCAACAAGACGAAGTCTAAGCTTCACGACCTGCTCCGCAGCATGCAATCCCTCCAGAAGGCGATCTCGGAGGCCACCGACATAGCCCGCAAGTGTTCGGATGCTTACGAAACTGGGGTCCTGCTCCACGCCCCCAAGAGCGAGGTTGATCTCGTCTTGGAGGCCCTCGGCTTGTCGCCTGAGGCTCTGACCGAGACCCAAAGGGCCAACCTACAGGCCCTCCGCACTCCGGCCAAACAGCCCGCGGAGGTGTCAGCCCCCCCCGGGCTCGGGCCGACACCCTTCCAGTTTGGGCCGGTGCCCGCTCAGACCGAGGAAAAGGCTGACGATGCCCTTGAGGACGAACCCAAGGATCCTGCGGAGCATCCGGGCAGTCGGCCGGCTGCCCCTGCAACACCTGCCAAGACCCGCAGCCGATCCCCATCTCGTCTTCCTCCTGCTTCCGAGGCTGAGTCTAAGGGCTCGTAGGATGGTGGTAGGGGTTTGGGGGTGGAGTTTTGCGGGCCTCTTGGCTTTGTTTCGACCTCCCCGGGCCCTGGTGTTTCCACTCCTGACCCTGCACCCACCACGCTTGTTTTTCCCTCCCCTGTCCCTTCCCCCCGCGGCCAAACCGTTTCGGGGCCTGAGGTTCAGGGTCGCTACTTTTCCCTTTTGCCGTCGGGCCAAATGCCCGTGGCACAACTCCTTCCGGGCGAGGGGTACTGGCCAACCTCTTTCTTTGAGGCGCCATCGGCCTCCCCCCCGGTTTTTAACTTCACTCTTGACGGCCCAGGGTTGGGAGCTCTTCTTCACCCTCAGGTGTTCGTTCCTTCCTCGGCCGATCCTGTCCTCTCCTCCCCTCAGTGGGTTGAGGTTACACGTTCTTCTCGACGGCAGCCCCGGACTCTTACTCTTGAGTCCCTGGTGGCGCCTCCTTCCTCCCTCACAGGGCCGGCTTATTTCCCGCAGGCTTTCGCCTCGGACCCCAGCCCTGACTCGACCTGGTGCCCTTCCTCGGCCCTGCCCTCCGGCTCATCGGGCCGTCGAGGTTCCAGGCGTGACCGGCGGTCCCAGCACCGCCGCCGCCGACTTCAAATGCCGGGCCTTTTCACCCAGCTCCAGGTCGAGATGTGTGACCAGGCCCTGAGCCCTGCCTCGCCAGTTGAGCGTGACCTCGTTGAGTTTGCTTCTAAGGTGGAGGATGCTATCTCGCCGGGTTCCTCGGAGGAGTGGTTTTTAGAGCATGCCCTGGATGCCATCCACGATGACACACCCTCCCCCGCGAAGTGGCACCTCCTCAAGCAGATGGCTCAGGTTCTCTCCTTGCAGCACAACACCCCTCACAATCCTGCCTCCTTCAGACTTCTCACCGCCAACGTCACTCACTGGAGGCCAGAGGTTCGTGATTGGGCCTTTTCCCTTGACGCCCAAGGGGTTTTGCTCCAGGAGCTCCACCTCACTGCTGACGCTGCGCATGAGGCCACAATCGCCGCCTCCAAAAGTGGGCTTCGCCTCTTCACTTCGCCACCTTTTCTAAGCGAGAAGAAGCGGCCCCTGGGAGGTTTTGGCGTTCTACTCCGCTCTTTCCTCAACCCTCGTCACGTCCTCACCCACACCGTTGAGGGCTGTGGTTTTCTCGCAGTTTCGCTTCGGTGTTCGGGGTTCGAGCTCACCCTGATCTCAGTTTACCTTCAGTCCGGGACGGGTTTCAACTCCCCTGTCAACGCCGATGTCCTGGCTCGCCTTCTAGCCTTTCTTCCATCCCTTCGGGGAGTGTGGCTTGTTGCCGGCGACTGGAACAACCCCATCCAAGACCTCCTCGCCACTAGGCTCGAGGAAGTTACCCATGGGAAGTTCCTGGGCACCGGGGCCCCCACCGCTGCAACGGACCGGGAAATCGACTACCTGCTTGTCTCGTCTCCGGCTGTTGCTTCCCTGACCTTGGCTCAGGACTGGGTCGTCCCCTTCAAGCCTCACTGTGCCCTGCGGGCTACTCTTCAGCTCAGCTCCTTGCAGCTTCCCTACCCGCAGCTCGCTACCTTCTGTGAGGTCTTCCCCGACCCTTTGCCTTTTCAGCCTTCGGTCCCGCGTCCCACGCCTGTCGCTGAGGTTAATCTTCTTGGCCTCACTTCTGCTGACCAGCTCACCCTCGACTTCGCTGAGCTGAGCTCCTTCCTTGAAGCTTCTCACGGTTTCCCCGACCGCGGGCGCGGGGCTTTTGTCCCCATTCTTCACAAGCCCCTCGTTCAAGGCCACTCGGTTGCTTTTGCTTGGAAGGGCCAGCTCCCTTCCTTGGTGTCAGCCGTGCTCCACTTGCTTGATCGGCCTGAGGTTTTGAAGCCCTTTTTGTGGTCCTCCTTGGACACTTCCCTCCCCTCTGAGGTTCGGGCCTTTTGTGATCGGGCGCGGGATGGCTCGGCCACTCCTGCCAGCCTCCGTGTGGAGGGCACTGCTCTCCTCGGCCAGCTTCGGCGGGAGCAAATCGCCCGGCAGGCTGACCAGTATGGTGAGTGGCTGGAGGAAGCTTCCGGCTCACACCTTGGGCCGCTTTTTCGCGCCATCAAGTCTCATGAGCAGGTGCTTGACCGGCCCTACCAGGACTGTGATGGGCTCCGTCGCGCCTTTGAGAGGCATGAACACTGGGCCCGCGTATGGCACGCTTCGGTCTTTCCTCAGCCCTTTTCGCACCCTCTCCTCGCGGAGCTCCGCTCGAGGGCCGTCTCTCACGCCGGCACTCTTGCTCCACTGACCGTCCCCAACCTTCAAAAGCTTCTCAAAAAAGCGGGGAAGAAGAAAGGTGGCCCAGACGGCTGGAGTTACCCAGCTCTGCGAGCCTTGCATCCAGCCGCTCTTCAGCTCGTCGCCGACTTCCTCGCCCGCGCGGAGGCTGAGGTCCTTCTGCCTTTCCAGCTCACCTGCGTCCAGGTAGCTCTTCTTCCGAAGTCTGCCGACAAAGAGCGGCTGTGGGCTCGCGCCAGGTGGAAGGATATCGCGGCTTGGACGTCGGCGTACTCCCCCGATCACCCGTGGGATCGGGCGGTTCCGGGCCAGGCCAGCCTCGACACAGCGCTGGCCCGCCTCGTGAGGTCGGAGCACTCTAAGCTCGAGAAGACTCACATAGTCAGTCTCTTTCTCGACCTTCGCGGGTTCTTTGATTCCGTGAGCTATGAGCGCCTACTCCTCCAAGGCCTGGCTCACCGGTTTCCACCGCTCCACCTCTGGTTCGCCCTTCAAGTCTACCAGGGGCCGCGCTGCCTCGTCGCCGACTCGATAGCGGCCACCCTGCTCTTCCCCGGCCGAGGTGTTCCACAGGGGTGCCCTCTCGCACCCTCCCTTTCCAAGCTCACCATGTCGGAGCCGCTCAAAAAGGTTTCCGCTCTTCCCTCCGTCACCAACACCGACCTGTGGCTGGACGACGTGAGCTTGGATGTGGTTGGTCCCGACCCTGTTGAAGTGGCTTCTGCAGCTCTCCAGGCCTACCGGGTGCTCCACGCCTCCCTCGGCCTCGAGGGCCTTGAGGTTGAGACCACAAAGACCAAGTTCGTTGCTGGTACGGTCCGCGCCCGCGCCGCGCTTCAGCAGTTGAGGCGCCCCGGTGAGCCCGATACCGCCGACCTGGTCAAGGACCTCGGGCTCGACTGTGCTGCAGGCCGGCGACGGCGCATCACCACAGCCCAAAAACGCTTCCGCACCGGCCTTGGGCGCGTCCGTCACATTCGCCGTCTTCGCATTGGCCGCAGGTGGGTTCGGGGCCGGCTGCTCCAAGCCTCCGCCCTCAAGGCGGGCCTTTATGGCCACCAGGCCGTTGGGGTTGCCCCTAAGCGCCTCAAGGTTTTGCGCTCGGCTGTTGCGCGTGAAGCTGGCCGTTTTGAGCATGGCTCTGCTGATGTCATCCTAGACCTCATGTCCCACAAGGCCGTTGACCCACACCAGCTTGTGGTAGTGGAACAGCTTCAGGCTCTTGGGCGTCTTGCCTCCAGCGCCTCTCCCGAAGGCGTGCGGTTACTCACGCGCACCTGGGCCTCCTCATGGTCCAGACAGGCCTCTGCCAAGCATGGGTGGAAAATCGTGAACGGCCCAGTGTCCGCGCTCATCCAGTACTTGCTTGACTTGCGAGTGTCCGCTCCCACCCCTGAAGTTTGGACACACCGCGAGGCTACCTTTCACTTCCGCTTCCGCGAGCCAGGAGCGGTTTTTGAGGCCTCCGCCTTCCTCAAGCAGGTTATCCAGCTAGAGCGCTGGACTCGTATCGGCGGCACGGCCTTAGGGCCGTCTTTCAAGGCGCCCTCCTTCACTCGGGCAATGGAGGGAAGGACCAATGCAAATTCTGTGGTGCGCCCAACACCCTGCACCACCTCCTTTACGAGTGTGAGAAGGTCCCCGGCGCCCTCATGCCCGCGGGCTGGCTGCTGTCTTATAAGCGGCGCCACCCTGCCGAGTGCCTCTGGTTGCGGGGGATGCGGCCCCTAAACACCCGCGAGCCCCTCGCCCATGAGGCTGAGGTCCGCCGCACTGGCCTCTTCCTTGACGGCACCCCAGACTTGACGGGGCTTTTCGTCGCTACTGACGCTTCGGGAGGCCCTGCCACCAAAGACAGTCGCCTCCGCTCGGTCGGCTGGGCTGTTATAGTCGCTAGCAGACACAATGGCGACTTCACTGTCCTTGGTACCATGTCGGGGCTTTTGCCGGCCCCTGCCTCCGTTCCGGAAGGCGAAAGCGAGGCCATCGCGCAGGCCCTCCTCTCCTCGCGGGGCACTTTTGACCTCACTTGCGACTGCCAGCCCGCTCTTCGGAGCCTTCAAGGGCCCTTTACCAAGCGCACCTCGCTTGTGTGGTCTAAGGCGTGGGACCACAGGCACAGAGCCGAACCTCACTGGGTCCGCTCCCACCTCAGTCCCTCGGACTTCTGTCTTGAGTTTGGTGCTGACGCCTTGTGGCGTCGTGAGCTCAACTCCCTTGCAGATAAGCTCGCCAAGGACCGTGCTGAAGAGGTTCAGACTCCTCGCCCAAAAGGAGGTTGACCGTGTCACCTCCCTCGTCTGCGAGTATTTGGGCCGCCGAGCTGCTGCCATACTGGCCAAGGCCGAAAAAGAGGACTTCGTCCCGCGGAAGAACCGCCTCCACGCCGCACTTGAGCCTTCCGCTTCTCCCTCGCCCAACAAGAGGCAGAGGTTGCAGACCTTGCTCGACGTGCCCCCTCTTCCGGGTGGGCACGTCTGGTCCCGCACCTCTAAGGAGAAGAGTTTCAACATGTGTGTTAAGTGCTCTGAGTGCTCCTTGTGCATCTACCAAGTTGACACACCGGAAACCTTTGAACGCCTCATCACCTTTCCGTGCCGAACGGCTGCGGTTCCGTGCCCCTTCGCTGCTCACCCTTCGCACACTCTTGTGCGCCAGGGGCCGTCCTGGAAGTGCAGCCAGTGCCACGGCCACGTGACCCTTCGGATGGGCGCCGCGCCAAAAAAGCTCGTAGTGCCCTGTGCGCTTCC